TCTACCATTCCTCATTTCTCTTCCCTGAGGGGTCATTGTCCCTCCAGCAGCAGAGGGATGCTGGTGTTGCTGGTGGCACTGGAATGCTGCTGGCAGTGCTGGCACTGCTGGTGAAGCATCTGGCAGCTTGTCAGAAACTGCTCCCATTCTGTGAAGAGCTCCAGAACCACTGCCAAAGCCTCTCCTGGGCTCATGGGATCACCCCTGGGCCATGGACTCCCATTCCTGTCATTCCAATGAGGCTCACACAGCCCAAGGGAAGGACAGCACTCAGTTGCTTGCAGCCAGGCTATCAGCACTTGGAGCCCACCCTAATTACTGCCAATCCCCTTCATGATGCCGTGAAAGCTATCAGGGACCAGGGTGCTGTGAACTCCCTGCCAGCCCTTCACCAGAGCTGCTCCTGCTCCTCCTCAATCCTGGGAACACTTGGGGGCGTTTGTGACACCTGATCCCAGACTGTCCCTTTGCAAGCAGAGATAACTGCCGCTATACCAGATTGCTCCAAACCCCATCCAGCCTGGCCTTGGGGACTTTCAGGGATCCAGGGACAGCCACAGCCTCACAGGGCTGCCTGTGCCAGGGCCCCAGCACCCTCACAGGGAAGGATTTCTTCCCAATATCCAATCTGACCCCACCCTCTGTCAGTGGGAAGCCATTGCCCCTTGTCCTGTCACTCCATGACCTTGTCCAAAGTTCCTCTCCAACTGTCCTGGAGCCCCATCAGCTCCTGGATCGTGAAGTGTTTGCCCTTGAAAGGATTGGGCTGGTGAGGGGATGTGAGATTCCATAGCTAGGGACACAAACACGGGTTCAGCAGGGAAGAGATGTGACAGTTCTGGTCCCAGGGCCAGCAGTTTCCAGGAGAAGCATCCCAGATCCCTGAGGCACATGTCAGCCTGGGTAGGAATCATCTCACCTCAGCTGTCTAGGAATACCTTGGAATTCACTGTAAGCTTCTGTCTGACTCCTAATGGAGTGAAGAGGATGACTCAGAGGCAACCGGCAACATTCTAAGGATTAAAGCCAGGCTAGCAGCATGGATTTGCCTCTTCTTGGAAGAAATGCCATTGCTGACATCCTAAATCATCCCTGTGCTGTGTTCTTGTGCTCCAGCTCACACACATAATTTATTATTGCATGAATCTTCTTAAAACTGCCTGGTAAAGGTAAAGCAATTCTGAAATTGTGGCATACACATGGCAAAACTACATTTGAATCAGAAATCAAAGTTTAACAGCACATTTGTAGTGCAGGGTCCTGAGGATCCAACTCAAGAATGAGAGGGGGCAAGTTCAGGCTGTTCAAAAGATAAGATTTCTGGATTGAAGTTGCTATAAAATCGAAGAGAAGCTGAGATGGAGCCCAAGTGCTCTGGGCACAGGTGTGGTTGCTGGGGCTCTCTCCCGTTGCTCATTTCCCAGGCAGAGTGAAGAGCAGCTGAGGAGCAGAGCCCTGAGCCCGTGGCAGGCTCTGAGGCAGCTGCCTGTGTGTGAGAGCCCTGGAGAACACGAGGCAGCACGGAGAGCAGGGGCTGTGGCAGGAGCTGGGACAGAGCCCGCGCCGGACGCTGCTCGGGCTCAGCCCGCGGGCTGCGCTCCCCTTTCCCAAGGGACCATTCCAGGGAACCTCCTGCAGATCCCGGCCCAGGGACAGCAGCTGGAGCCTGGCAGCTGAGGGCAGTGCACTGCGGGCAAGTTCTCCAGGCTGCCAGAGGAAACCAGGTCAGACTCTTCTCTTCCACCTTCGTCAGGGCCCCCTCATTGGGTGGAACCTGGTTATTGATTTTGGGGGCAGAACTGAGGTCTGTAGGGAATTAAGACCTATAAACACTGTGGGAAAAGGGAGGGAATATTGAAATGAGTGTCCTGCTGAAGGAACGCAGCAGCTCAGTGATATCAACTGACACCTGAGAGTCCAGCTCAGATCCATGCCAAAGCCATTTGCTCTCTGATATCTCCATGGGCAATCCTCTCCTTCTCCAATTGTTTTCCTGCTCCAGCTGTGTCCTGTCCACAGCCAGGAAGGAGGTATCTCGCTGGCCTTTTGGCCAGACACACAGGACCAGGCTCCCACATCCTCCTTGCCATCTGTCCTGTCCCTCACCCTTCCCTGTGCTGCTCCACATGGAAGCTGTGGGTAGGAAAAGATGGGAAAAGCCACGTTTGGGGGACAGCAGCGTTGCTCTGGTGTGTCTGTTTGTCAGCCCTGCAGCTGTGTGAGGGCAGGAGAAGCAGCAGAGGTGTCCCCATGAGCACTTTGTCCCCTGGCACGGAGGGAGCCAGCCCTGCCTGCTGGAGCCAGCCCGGTGGGAAGGCATCCCAGGGGAGCTGGAATGAGGAGAGCCACGACAACTGGAGCCAGTGTGACAGCAGGCAGTGGAGCAAAGTGCCTGTCCCGCTGCTGCTGCTGCTGCTGCTGTGCCTGTGTGGGATGGTGGGAATGGGGCTGTGCTCTGGCTCCTCAGCTTCTGCATCCACAGGAACCCCATCACCCCCTGTGTGCTCAGCCTGGCCATGGCTGCCTCCACCTTCCTGCTCTCCATCACCATCACCCTGGGGATATTTTCTGTCCCAGAGAGCTTCTGCCACCAGCTGGGCTCGTGGGCTGTGCCAGCTGGGCTGAAGGTCCCCATCCTCTTGGCTTTCACTGCTGCTGTCTCCTCTCTGACAGCCCTCAGTGCTGTCACAGCTCTGTTTGTCCTCCCGTGTCCTGCTGGCCCTGCCCCTGCTCCCAGTGCTTCCCGGTGCTCCTGTGTGCCCTGCTCTGGCTGCTCTCCTTGCTGCTCACTGCCACCCTCCATTGCTGCCCTTTGGTGCCCATGGCCTTGGTGCTGAGCTGCCCCTTCTCAGTGCTCAGCCTGCCCTGTTCTGCTCTGGCCCTGCTGGCCAGGCTCCTGTGCTGCTCATGGAAACAGCTCCCAGGGAAGCTCTGTGCCCTGCTCCTGCTGCTCCTGTCATCTCCTTCCCCTTCTTCACTGCTGATGTTGGGCACTGGCTCTTGCTGAGGGCGTTTGACTTCTCTGTCTTTGCCCCCAGCCCCTCTCTCCTGCTCACCTGTGCCCAGAGCAGTGCCCTCCCTCTGATTGACTGCCTGGCTGGGAGCTGTGCAAAGAATTCACCCCCTCTGGTAGTGTTGCCTTGCAGAGGGCTTTTGAGGCTTTAGTGCCAGAGCCAGGGCATAGGGACAACACAGGGGAGTCGTCATCAGGTGGAATCATCATGCAAGATAGTCAGCATAAAATAGAACCATAAAATATCCAGAGTTGGAAGGCAGCAACAAGGTTCATGGAGTTGAACTCCTCACCCTGCCCAGGACATCTCAACAATCCCAGCCTGTGCCTGAGAGCATTGTCCAAGTGCTCCTTGAGCTCTGTCAGGCTGGTGCTGTGTGCAGCAGGGGAAATTGCCTTGAGAGGGATGCCCTGGCTGAGTTGTTCTTCCATGGACAAGAGGTTATACCTTGGAAAGTTTTGTCTTTCCAATGGACAGGAAATGGGAGTCAGGGAGAGAAAAACCCTCTCAGATGTCAGTCTGTCTTTTCTGTTAATTATTACCAACTCTGTTAATAAATGCTCCTTATATGTTCATCCTCACATGTGTCTCCAAAGTCTGACTCACCACCCACAGCTTTCACTCTCACTTCCCTTTCCAGAAGCAGTGGCACGTTGGTTTCCCCTGGACTTAAGGCAGTGGGAAAAGGAGGGACAACTTCCCCCTGAGCAAGAGATGTGGCTGCTGCCCAGGTCTCTCCCAGCAGGAATCAGGAGCTCTTGGCACTGCCAACATCATCCCAACCACTGCAGTGCCTTAGGAAGGGCTCTGGTATGAGACAGGGATCTGCCCTGCTCCCAGACCAGCCAGAGGCTTTAGAATGGGATAAAAGAAGGAAATGAGCCATTTTGGACACTGTTTAACAGGGACAGGCTCAGCAGTTAAACATGGATGTTGTTTATTCAACAAAGTCAGGAGCTGGAATTACTACAGAAGCAAACAAAAGTATGAATGTAAACTTCATGTAGGGGTAGTTACAGAATGACGAAGATCAGGAGAGGCTGGGCTGTGGCTGGAGCTGCTGTGCAGAGTGGCTGTGCAGCTCCTCCTGAGGGTGGCCAGGTTCAGGATGGAGGTGCTCAAGGGCTTCCCTGGACACTGATGCTGGGGAACCAGAGGATGGATGGCCCCATTGTGCAGAAGAGCAGCATAACCCCCTAATTTCTGTGCAATTCAATGGTCCGAGCCTCTGATGATGGGAATTTCCATATTCCATGTACTTTTTGGATACAGGCACAGAGGATCAGTGGAGTTCACTGTTGACCCTGCACTTTACTCAGAAGGATTCAATTCTGGAATTCAAGAATGTGAGACATTCCCACTGGAAGGATAAGGGAATGTTGCTGTCCCTCCCCAGCTCTGCAGCCCTACCTGGTGTCCCTTCCCATCAGCTGGGAATGCAGGGCCGGCTCTGCTGGACAGAAGGGGAAGGATGCTCCTTGTGATCCCAACCCCTCTCCAGCCATCCAGAGGCACCAGCCCTGCAGGGATTTGGGAAATCACTGCCACTCCATGATGGGTGTGTCCCCAGGGATTAAGGTGTCCCATTCTCTGCAGGCAAGAGCTCCCTGATGAAAACACCATGGAACTCATCTGCTGAACCAAAGGAGATGGAGTTCATTCCCTGGGGCTGAGGCCATAGAGCTGGGGAACAGCACTGAGCCCAGGTGCACTGGGGAATAGAGCTGGGGAACAGCACTGAGCCCAGCTGCACTGCTTTGGAGCCATGTGGATCCAGGAGGGAGGAGGAAAGCCATGCTGCAATGTGCTCCCTGCAGAGCATCCCACAAAAATCACCCAAGGCAATGCCCCTGCTCCCTTCTCCTGCAGGAATACAGCACCACAAGGAGGGTGATACTGTGGATATTTATTCATCAGGTGAATCAAGGAAACCTTCGGCCTCTGTGTTAAAGTCCTTCAGCAGAGCAGTGGAAGGGATCAAAAGGCTCAGAACACTGTGCCCATGGCATGATCATCGCTGTGGTCAGTTTTTTCTTTTGGCTCTTCAAAGACGCACTGGAGGGAGAGCTTGAGCAACCCTACACAGCAGGGTCTTGTGCACCTCCCTGCCAAGAAGTAGATGAAGGGTTTGATGCTGCTGTGGATGCAGGCGAGTTGGAAAGCAACCTGGGAGGGCACAGTGATGTAACCGAGCTGCTGCAGGAAATTGCAAAAACTGAGGAGGGGAGTGAGGAGCACAGTGATGATGATAACGATGTCGCGCCTCTTGGGCTGCTGCTGCCTGGAGCCCCACTTGGCCTTAATGAAATCAACTGTGCTGGAAACAAGCAGAGGTGCAACAAAGAGGAGCAGGATGAGGGTGTACGTGGAGATGAGAGGAACACGGCAGTGCGCCCGCTCGTGTGATGGGCACAGGAATGTCACTGCAGGAATGTCAGCAAAGAGAGCAAAGAAGGCACAAGATTGCACACTCTCTGCCACCTACACCAGCCTCTCAGGAAGGTCGTAGTGCCAGTAGAGCTTTCAGACCTTGTACACATACAGAACATTGCTGTTGAGCATCAGCCGGAACAGCTCCAGTAGTAGGAGACCACTGACAGCTGCAGAAGGAAACGCAGGTACAGCATGGGCACAATAGGAGAGCAGGACACGTCCTCCACCAGGATGAGGAAGGTGGAAGGGACTGTGAAGAGGAGGAAGAAGAAATTGGCAACAGCCAGGTCAAAGAAGCCAGAGTTGGGGATGTTCAGGTTGAGGAGGCTGATGACAGGCCTGTTGCCAACCAGCCCACACAGGCAGATAAGCAGTGTCACACTGTGTATGGCCACGCTGGTGACATCCGTCTCACACAGATCATCTCCTTCAGTGGGTGAGGCAGGAGATGGGGACACGGTGGTCACCTCCATGGATGGACGCTGGGCAGGCAGTGGGATGTGGCCCCTGGCTGTGGTCAGAGTGGCTGGGCAGTCAGTGCTTGGACAATGCAGGGATGGACCATGTGGCTCCTCAGCAGCTCCCTGCAGTGGGAATGATTCAGTGGGGAGGAGTGAGATGTGCAGGGGAGGAGAGCTGTGGAAATGGTGGGATATGAGAGGGAGGGGGGAGGTTTGGGCTGTTCTGCAGGGGATGTGGAAGGGAAGTGCAGAGCAGAGGATGGATGACCTGGGGAGGGCACTGCAGTCACCAGGAGAGAGTGTCAGGAACAGAGCAGCTGCTGCAGGAGAGGAAGGTGGGGTAGGGAGGAAGGCAAACATTCCACTGACCTGTTCCCTGTGGGGCAGCAGCAGGCAAAGGGGTCTGTGCAGATCAGCGGCGCTTCCTGGTCCCTCTTGCTCCTTTGGGATCCATGTCCTAAAGCGGCTCCTGGCAGGTCAGGGACATGAAGGAGAAAGTGCCCAGGTCACCAGGAGTTCCCCATTCCCGTCCTGCGAGCTCCTCTCTGTGCCCTGTCCTGGTGTTGTTTCGCAAGGCTAGGTGCACTCACAGGGCAATCGGAAATGGTTTTGTATCTTTGGCTTCCACACAGTTCCACAGCCTCGGAGTTGTTGATTTTTATTCATTTTCCCTACGAATCAAGTGCTCTTTTTCTTTGTTGTGAGAAACGACGCCTCACTTCTTAAAATTTTAAAAATTTATTGAACTACAAGAAGGGACAAGGTAAAAGGAACAGTGCTCGGTGCTCACTTGCAGCCAGAGGTACGGCCAGAGGCACACTGCCCAAAACAGAAACAGGCTTTGTACCCGCTTGGTAACACACCCCCCCCCCCCCCCCCCCCCCCGGTAATCCAACGCCCACATTCAGACACATTCCGCTTTTCCAACACAGCTCCTCCTCCGTCCCGCCTTCCCGGAGCTTGTGCAGGGCTTTGACTGCCCACAATGGTCATTACAACTCTCAACATGAACACAGTACTCGTATTAGAAAAACTACAAAGCTTAAAAAAGACAGAAGAGAAGGATGCTCCCAGTGATCCCAACCCCTCTCCTGCCCCGCAGAGATTTGGGAAATCACTGCCACCCCGTGCTGGGTGTGTCCCCATGGATTAAGGTGTCCCATTCTTTGCAGGCAAGAGCTCCCTGATGAGAACACCATGAAACTCATCTGCTGAGCCAAAGGAGATGGAGTTCATTCCCTGGGCCGAGGCCATGAGGGTCATTCCATGGGGAATAGAGCTGGGGAACAGCACTGAGCCCAGCTGCACTGCTTGGAGCCATGTGGATCCAGGAGGGAGCAGGAAAGCCATGCTGCAATGTGCTCCCTGCAGAGCATCCCACAAAAATCACCCAAGGCAATGCTCCTGCTCCCTTCTCCTGCAGGAATACACCACCACAGGGAGGGTGATCCTGTGGATATTTATTCATCAGGTAACTCAAGGAAACCTTCAGCCACTCTCCTGGGGTCCTTCAGCAGAGCAGGAATGGATCAACAGGCTGGGGGCATCATTTCCGCATACAGTTTTTTCTTTCTGCTCCTCAAAGACACTGTTGAGGGTGAGCTGGAGGGACTGCACAGAGCAGGGCCTCCAGCACCTTCCTGCCAAGAAGTAGATGAAGGGTTTGATGGTGCTGTGGATGCAGGTGAGCAGGAAAACAACCTGGGAGGACACAGTGATGTAACCGACCTCCTGCAGGAAATTGCAGATGATGAGAAGGAGAGTGAAGAGCACAATGATGATGATAACAATGTTGCGCCTCTTGGGCTGCTGCTGCTGGGAGCGTTGCTGGGCCTTAATGAGGACGATTGTGCGGTAAATCACCACGGGTGCAACAAAGAGGAGCAGGATGATGGTGTACATGGAGATGAGAGCTGCCCGGCAGTGCTCCTGCTCGTGTGATGGGCACAAGAATGTCACTGCAGGAATGATAGTGAAAAGAGCAAAAAAGACCCAGTATTTGGCTCTCCACACCACCCATGTCAGGCGCTCGGGAAGTTGGCAGCAGCAGCAGAGCTTGCAGAGTGAGGCCACGTCCTTTCCTAGGCTGTGGGCTGTCAGCCGGAACAGCCCCCAGTAGTAGGAGACCACTGACAGCTGCAGAAGGAAACGCAGGTACAGCATGGGCACAATAGGAGAGCAGGACCCATCCTCCACCAGGAAGAGGAAGGTGGAAGGGACTGTGAAGAGAAGGAAGAGGAAGTCGGCAAGAGCCAGGTCAAAGATGCCATAGTTGACACTTTTCAGGTTGAGGAGGCCGATGACAGCCCCGTTCCCAGCCAGCCCACAGAGGCAAATGAGCAGTGTCACACTGTGTATGGCCACATCGGTGACATCTGTCTCACAGAGATCATCTCCTTCGGTGGGTGAGGCAGGAGATGGGAACACAGTGGTCACCTCCATGGATGGACGCTGGGCAGGCAGTGGGATGTGGCCCCTGGCTGTGGTCAGAGTGGCTGGGCAGTCAGTGCTTGGACAATGCAGGGATGGACCATGTGGCTCCTGAGCAGCTCCCTGCAGTGGGAATGATTCAGTGGGAAGAAGGGGAGAGGAGGAGGGTGGTGGAAATTTTGGTTTGGGAGAAGGAAATGGAAGGATTGGGATGTTCAGCACGAGATGCAGAGGGGAAGCACAGGGCAGAGGATGGGGGCCTGGGTGAGGCACTGCAGTCACCGGTAGAGGGTGTCAGGAACAGAGCAACTGCTGCAGGAGAGGAAGGTGGGGTAGGGAGGAAGGCAAACATTCCACTGACCTGTTCCCTGTGGGGCAGCAGCAGGCAAAGGGGTCTGTGCAGATCAGCGGCGCTTCCTGGTCCCTCTTGCTCCTTTGGGATCCATGTCCTAAAGCGGCTCCTGCCAGGTCAGGGACATGAAGGAGAAAGTGCCCAGGTCACCAGGAGCTCCCCATTCCTCTCTCCCCAGCTGATCTGTGTTCCCTGTCGCAGTGCTGGTTGCAAGGCTTGGTGGGGTCATAGGGCAGTTGGAAGTTCTTTGCAACTTTGTCTACGTCAGAGCTCCACTCCCTCATAGTTATTTATCTCGAATGTGTTTTCTTTGACACAAAGGAATTGGCTTTTGCCAAAAGCTCCAAATGAAATATTTTGCAAATGGCTCCTCATTTACTTCTGATTAGAAACATTCCTTCCCTGCAGTGTCCCATTCTCTGACTGCTTTCCCTCTCTTAGCAGGTTTCTACCACTCCTTGCTTCTCTTCCCTGAGGGTCACTGTCCCTCCAGCAGCAGAGGGATACAGGTAGCACTGGTTGCACTGGAGTGCTGTCTGTGCTGGCAGTGCTGTTGAAGCACCTGGCTGCTTCTCAGAAACAGCTCCCATTCTGGGAAGATTTCTGACATCTTTGCCAAAACCTCGGCCCGAGGCGCCACAACTGAGACAAGAATTCCCATTTTTGTCATCCTTCCACAGGCTTACAGAGCCCAAAGGAAGGACAGCACTCAGTTGCTTGCAGCCACATCAGTAGCACTTAGAGCCCACCCTGATTACTGCCAATACCCCTGATGATGCAATGAAAGCTATCAGGGACAAGATTTTGCAGTACTGTGATCCCCTTTCCAGCCCTTCATCAGGGCTCATCCTCTTCCTCCTCAGGCTTGGGAGCCCTTGTGTTTGTTTTTACCTGACCCTACCCCACTGAGTAACCTGTGCCAGGGCCTCAGCCCCCTCACAGGGAAGGATTTCTTCCCACAACCCCACCCTCTGTCAGTGGGAAGCCATTCCCCCTTGTCCTGTCACTCCACGCCCTTGTCCAAAGTCCCTCCAACTCTTCTGGAGCTCTGCCAGCTCCTGGATCATGAAGTGTTTGCCCTTGATAGGACTAGTCTGGTGAGATTCCACAGCTGGGGACACAAACACGGTGTCAGCAGAAAGAGAGGTGGCAGTTCTGACCCCAGGGCCCCCACACATGCCAGTTTCCAGGAGGAGCATCCCAGATCCCTGAGGCACATATCAGCCTGGGTAGGAATCATCTCACCTCAGCTTTCTAGGAATTCCTTGGAATTCACTGTAGGCTGCTGTCTGACTGCCAGGGGAGTGTAGAAGGTGACTCAGATGAAACCTGCAACTTTCTAAGGATTAAAGCCAGGCTAGCAGCATGGATTTGCCTCTTCTCAGAAGAAATGCCATTGCTGGCATCCTAAATCATCCCTCTGCTGTGTGCCTGAGCTCCAGCTCATTCACAGAATTTACTATTACATTAATCCTCTTGGAAACTGCCTGATGCAGGAGAAGTACCACTGAAATTGTGGTATACAAGTGGCAAAATTAGATTAGAAGCAGAAATCATAGGTTTATTCCTGCTGAGTCCTAAAAATCCACCTGTGCAATGCAAGGTGGAGATTTGAGCCTGTTGACAGACAAGATTTCAGGATTAGTGTGGCTATGGGGAACCTGACACAAACTACTTTTCCTAGACGGAATGAGGTGCTCTTGGAACTGTCAAAAGATGGCTCATTACAGACATTGTAGGCATCAGCCTTAGGAAGAGCTCTGGTGTGAGACAGGTACCTGCTCTCCTCACAGACAATCCAGAGGCTTTCAAATGGGAGAAAACTAAGGAAATGAGTCAGTTTCTGATGCTGATTCCCAGGGACAAGCTCTGCAGCAAATCCCTGATGTTGTTTATTCAGTAAAATCTAGGGCAGGAGTTACCACATTGAAAAGAAACAAAAGAAAAAAATCCAAACCTGATTTCAGGGTAGCAACAAAATTAAAAAGATCAGTACATCAGGGTTGATTCCTTGGGGCCAAGGCAATGAGGGTCATTTCATGGGGAATACAGGAACAGGACTGAGCTCAGAGCCATGTGCTCCAATACTTCTGGCTGTCTCTGAGGTGCCACATGTGCAGAAGTGCCTCACAGAGCTGTCACCTCCACCACAGTGTCCCCAGGCCCGTGGCTCCCCTCGTCACTCCCGCCTTTCTCCTCAAACACCCTCCGCAGAGCCACTCTGACCGAGCGCTGGAAGCGGCGCCGCCGGCAGCTCCCCACCAGCACGTAAATCACCGGGTTGAGGGAGCAGTTCAGCAGTGCCAGGAACAAAGAGGGGTCTTCTGGGAATAAATCACCGGAATCTGGGAGATTGATGAAAACCTCCATGCAGAAAGGGATGCCAAAGGCAAAGAAGAGCAGGACGTTGAGCACGATGGCCACAAAGAGCTTCCCTGGCTGCCGCCTCCGGGAGCCACAGCGCAGCTTGAGGAACAGGAACAGGTTGGAAACCAACATCATGAGGGAAAAAACCACGCAAATGGCCAGGGCTACACCTGCAATGACGGTCCCAGAGTCCTCAGTGTAGGTGGAGGTGAGGTAGAGGGAGGAAACAAAAGCCCCTGCCAGGGCCCAGAGGGCCCCGCTGACAGCGGCCGAGAGGTGCCGGGGGCGGTGGCAGCGGTACCAGATGGGGCACAGGACGGAGATGCAGCACTCCACGCTGAGGGCTGCCAGCAGCCCCAGGCTGCTCAGGTCAAACACGTGGCACGGGAACCCAAGGACAAACACAAAACGCTGATAGTGATGAATAAAAGGAAACAAAGATGTGCAGAATGCTGCTAAGGACAGAAAAGCCAACAGAAGCAGGAGAAACAGGAGGAGCAGGGAGAAGTCTGCAACAGCCAGATTTAGGATGTAGACAGTGAAAGGGCTCTGCTTTGTGTGCAAGCCCAGGAACCACAAGACCACCCCATTCCCTGCCAGCCCACAGAGGGAGATCCCCAGGCACACCCCTGCAAAGGCAATCAGGCTGGAGGGAATGCGGGAGCATTCTGATCTGATATATTCCTCCCAGTCCAGAGATCCATAAAGTGTATTGTTCAGGGTGAGGTTTGTTGTGCTGTTCTCCTCCATGGTGAATGATCCTGCTCCCAGCAGCTGCCTTCTCCCTTTCCCACCACCTCCTAGGGAGAGATGGGGAACCAGAGGGAAATAAGGGACATCAGCACTCCCAGTATTTCCCAACTGTCCACACAGCCCCACGCCAGCCCCAGGAAGAACCCCCACCCCTGCAGTGCCCAGGACTGGCTCCCAGCCCTCCAGCCCTGACTCTAGACAGGAATCTCCCACCAGGCCATCCCTCGACTCCTACCTCCCGTAGGAACAGCACTGACACAGCAGCACCAGGAGAAAGGATTTGGGATGGCTGCTGGAACCACTGGCTGTGCTTCAGTCTCGTGCCTCGTGCCTGGGTGCAGCCCTTGGCCCAGAGATCATATCCCATGGTCAGAGCTCCCCTCACAATCTCCCCACATCAGTGACAGCTTCCCCTCACATGTCCAGGGACACAGATCTTATCAGGAGGAGGTGGCCACATCACCCCCTTCCTCTGCCACCCTCCAGTGTCATCCCACCATGCAAGGGGCTTCTGCCTTTCGCTGTGTGTGCCAGGTGGTCCATCCATCAATGCAGAAGGGGATATAAATCATTCCCAGGGATGGAGGATGGCAGAGGGGTGAGAGAGATGAGCCATAGACCTTCAGGAGTGAGAAATCACTGGTGTGCAGACATGCCATAGCACAAGTTTCTCAGTATCTCTAGTGACATGTAAATCGTGCTCAAAGACTTCTTCCAACTTCCTTCTGGGAGAAACTTGCAGGAGTTGCCCCTTCTTCCATCTCCCTCTCATGGATGGATGCTGAGCCTAAGTTCTCTCCTTGTTTCAAGTCTTCCTCTAGCTCCAAATCCTGAAGCTCCAGGCTGGACCCCCTGGAGAGCTCATGGACCTTGTGCATTAACACATCCATCAGTTCTGGGGATGACAAGCATAGGATCCAACTCCAAAGGAGATAGAAAACACATGAAAGAGGGGCAGAAGATAAATGCCAGTTCCCGTGCTGTGAAAGGCTGAGGTTGTGCGGCAGGAACCACTTGGAGATAAGAGCGCTTGGGCAGCACCATGTACCCCACAAACCTAATCTCTGAGGAGACACATGCCCCGCAGGAGTGATGAGGCTGATGATTGGGATCAGACAGGTTGGGATTAGAGGCTGTGGGCAAAGCCCTCGTGCAGTCCCGTGTCTGGGCACTGGTGATTTCCCACAGCAAGTGGACACAAGGACAGTGCTCATCCCCATGGCTGCTGCTCAGGGGCTCTGTTGGCATCTAATGAGGTCTGGAATTTCTGAGGGGTTCAGAAAACCCAGTAACAGCTGAACAGATCGTAGTGAAGTACCCCTTCCATGGACAGGATCTGCCCTCACCAGAGGAGGGTTTTGACCCAGGATTCCCAGCACCTGAAGGGACATGATATTATCTGTGCTGTCCTCCTATTTTCATTGCTTTAGATCCAGTAAATGATTAAAATCCAAAAGTCTGAGTGCTGCAGTAATGGGATCATAACAGATGAGCAGCTCCTCATGAAGAACTGTGGGGGAGGCAGAGGAAGGCAGTGACA